GGGTCAGAGCCCAGTGGAGGGGGCAAAGGAGGGGAAATGGGAGACATCTGTAATACTCTCAACAATAAAGATTAAAAAAAGAATCAATTGTAATTCACATAAGAATAAACTTACCTTCCAAATGAAAAGACACAAAAGTCAAGAGAACCACAGACAGAGGGTTAGCCTCTATGAAATAAATGCAGTTCATGTTGTCGTCATATTGCTTTGGGTAGTTTGGAGAAATAATGTAACCTGAAGATTTAGTGAAATTGCTTCCACATCCTACGTAGGAAGAAAAAGGCAGTATCAGAACATTTGTTCTCACACACAGTATCTTTTTATCAGTGAGGAAAAGTCTCAGATTTCCTAAATTCTATAGAGACGTATTCCCTGAGGTACTCCAAGTGGAAGAAACAATAACTAAGAAAATGGAGCTGTCATTTAAAAATTTAAAAATGAGAACATTACATATTTTTAGAAAATGCTGCAGGGTTTTGGGTTAAGTAGTAGAAATTTTACCACAAATCTATTGCAAATCATTTAATTTTAAGATAGCAAAGGAAGAATAGCTTAGAAAAAATTTAATATGGCTCATGTAGATAAAGAAATAAGACTGATAAAAAGTGATTTGTACCTGATTGGTACACCTGATGGTTTTAAAATATCTTCTTATATTACTAGAAAATGATATTATTTCATTACCATTATAATCTGACCACAAAAATACCTGCTCTTAAAAAAAAAAAAAGGTAGAACATACTATTTCTAACTCTTATCAGATTCTCACATGAATCCCTGTGTCAGAAATAGAGCTTTTTACCACTAAAATGACTTTGTTTCCATATAACCACTAACTAGTTAATCCACATCACTCACCGATCTATCACATATGTAAAAATGAGTATCCTTTAAACGAATATTGAAGCACACACAGTTACCCACACACACACATATGAGGAGCCAAGTACAGGCTTAAGGCTAGGCCTGGGCTTGGCTTTCACTACCTCCTTTCCACGGCCCTCATTCTTTTATTTGTGTTTGAAACATCCTTTCTCTGCATTATTTCCTCTAACTCCTTTCATCAAAGTTTTTCCTGAACAGTGGTTAGCAGCTAGTAGCTATCCAATTCAATTCAGCCAACAAGCACACACCACTGGTTCTCAGGCTTAAAAACTCTACATTTCCCGCTAACTGAATTGGTGAGTAGTAATAAGGGAAGGAAGAAGTTCTGAGGCTCCCAAGGTTTACCGACCATGAGAATTATCTGGGTGAGAGCTAAAACACGCCAGTCCCCACCCATGGAAGTTCTGAATTCAGATGGGTCCGGCGAGGCCCGAGAATCAGCGTGTTTTTAAAGCCCCAGGCGACTTCAGTGCAGGTAGTCAGCGTGCCACAGGCCAGGGATCTGGCTGTCTACTAATTACCAGCCTGGGCTCCTGCCAAATTCCTGTCCACTCTGCATTTTAGGGTTATTTTTAGATGTCTCAGCGGCACTCAGGCCCTTTACGTCATTTCTTGATTGACTTACTATTGAATTCAGTTCCATTCTCACTGATTTTGAAGGATGGGCGAACTCTCAGGGTTAGGGGACCAAGCCACACTCTTCCCCGTGGATCCCCAGTTCCAGCCAACCCCAGTGCAGCCCCCCCCTCTTCCCCAGGCCTGCCTGTGGCAGCCACACCCTTTCAAGGACCTCTCAGTTTGCCTTTTAGTGCTACTTACGGCTTACAAAGGAGGCAGAGAAGCCCTGAGCCGGGGCCTCCTGCGACTGGAACACGGCGGTGAGCGCGTTCCTCGGCGTGCTGACGGCCCCGGGAGCCGCGCTCCCACAGCCCGTGGCCAGCAGGGCGCTGTCCGCCTCTTCAGTTCCTGCCCACACCTGCCAGAGCCACAAACATAACTCAGTGCTCGAAGTTTCCCGTCAGCATCTTAATGTGCCTACTCTGGGAAATAATGGTACTAAGGTGTATATGGACCTAAACATAACAGTCAATGCAACACATGAAAATCTGCAATATTTTCTTTTGAGAACAATATTTTCAAGCTGCATTTTAATAGCATATCCCATTTTTTGACTCTTCCAAGGAGATTGTGTTTATTTTTGTGTAGCTACCCAGTAATTTTTTAAAAACTCCATTACTGCCCACGCTCCTCTTACCTTCTCCTAGCTGACCTGATCTAGGTAGCTGAGCTTGAAAGAGAGAATTTTAAGGTTCATGGTGAAGAAGGGGTGAGATTCAGTCACCGTGCGCTGTTATTCACTAAAGGCTCCCAGGTAGCAACTCCCAGGCAGATCTAGTCTGTCATTTAATTAGTTTGGCCACTTTTGAAGAAATCACTGATATACTCATTTGAAAAGTAGTTGCTGAGGAATAAACCATAAGCCTCAAAGTTCCAAAACAAGCCAATCCTTTACCAGCCTAGTGAAAAACATTAATCATAGAATCACAAATGTAAATACAAAATTCCAACTTTGGAAGCAGCTGCAATGGAGCTATTGAGAGCATATAATAAAGGGTTCTACTTGATTTGGGGAGTGGGGAGCCTACCTGAAGAGGCCCCCTGGCAGGAAAAGGCATGTCTAGTTGAGAGAACAGAGGGAAACTGAGTAAGGTGTGAGGAGAGGCCTGTGTGGCATGTTAGAGATCTGGGCCACTGTCCTGAAAATGGCAAGGAACCTCTGGAAAGCTTAAGGCTTGACGACTCTTGGTTTTTGGAAAACATCACAGTGTGGAGAATAGAAGAAAAGAGAAGATGATAGGAGATCAGCCAGGAAGGTTCTGAGGTAGTTTAGGCAAGAGATGGTGGTATTTAAAATGCTGAGTCACTCAAGGAAAATATTGATATTAGGTAATGAATGCACATTATTGAGGAAAATACTGTTAAACATGTTTAACCAGGGAAGATTCTCCTAGTTGAGTGAGTCTCAACTGGGAGCAATTTTGCCCTCCCCAGGGAATATTTAGCAATGTCTGGAGGCATTTTTGTCACACTTGGGGTGGCATGTAGTGGGTAGGGGCTAGGGATACACAGGACAAAACACCCCCCTTCCCCCAAGTAAAAATCTTCTAGCCCAAGAAGGCAAGAGGGTAATCAGGTTTGGATCAGCTTTCCTTGACTATCTATCTGACCTTTTTTTACATCAAATTAGACAAAATTACTCATTTGAACATACCACTTTCAGGAATATTTCTCAACAAAGCAATAAAACATCAAGCCTTTAAAAATATTTCTATTGGCAAATCAGCCCATAGGAAGAGGGGTGAAGTAGCGCTGATTCATAAGTATTTCTCAGTTCTTTAAAGTGATATAATTTCAATTGATTTTTAAACACTGGCATCCATTAAAATCATATAATTAAAGTCAAATTATATTTTCATTTATTAGATATGGGAGGAACCTGGCACTGGAGAACAAAAGCACAGATATTTTGTGAAATGCCTAAGATAAAAAAATGTGTCAGGATACAACTCAACACCAAAACAAACAAACAAACCAATTCAAAAATGAGCTGACGACCTCAATAGACATTTCTCCAAAAAGGACATACAGATGGCCAAAAGACAAATGAAAAGATGTTCAAGGTCTCTAATCATCAGAGAGATGCAAATTAAAACCATAATGAGGTATCACTTCACGCCTGTCAGAATGACTATCACCAATAAATCTACAAATGACAAGTGTTGGCGAGGGTGTGGAGAAAAGGGAACCCTTGTGCACTGTTGGTGGGAATGCAGACAGTATGGAGTTTCCTGAAAAAAATTAAAAATGGAACTGTCTTATGACCAAGCGATTCCACTTCTGGGTATATATCTGAAGAAACCCAAAATACTAATTCGAAATTATATGCACCCCTATGTGCATTGCAGTGTTATTTGCAATATCTAAGATATGGAAGCAATCCCAGTGCCCATCAATAGATGAGTGGATAAAAAAGTGGTGGTACATATATACAATGGAATATTGCTTGACCATAAAAAAGAATGAAACCTTACCATTGCAACAGCATGAATGGACCTAGAGGGTTTTGTGCTAACGAGTCAGTCAGAGAAATACAAATACCATGTGATTTCACTTACATGTGGAATCTAAAGAACAAAATAAATGAACAAATAAAATGGAAACAGACTCATAGATACAAAGAACAGACTGATGGTTGCCAGAGGGGGGAGGGTCAGAGACAGGGTAAAAAAGGTAAAAGAATTAAAAAGTATAAATTGGTAGTTACAAAATAGTCGTGAGGATGAAAAATACAGCATAGGGAATACTGTCAATAACATTGTAATAACTATGTATGGAAATACCAGGGGGAACACTTTGTAAAGTATGTGATTATCTACAATTTTGCTGTATACCTGAAACTAATACAAAATAATATTGAATATAAACTCCAATTGAAAAATTTTAAAAATGTGTCAGGAGAGAAATTCACACTACTAATTTTCCCTAATATCCCTTTTAATTTTTAATTTTTTTATTTTCCCCTTTAACTATCCAGGAAAACAGTATACAGAATTTTTTTATCTACATTTTGTAAAATTATAAACATGATTTACTAATATCTGCATATACTATTTTTACAAACATTACTAAAAGGCAAAGTGATAGGAGCTAACTTTTAATAAGGAATCTCAAGTTCTTTAATAAAGAACTTCAAGAATACTCAGGTGCTTATACCTTTCTGAAGTATTAATTATGGATCTGCCGGCTCTACCTTTGGGCTCAAAACCACACATGTTGTAATGACAATAATGGTAAAGAATCATTAAGTATTCATTGCTGCTTTGTCAATCAAGAATTCATGTCACTGGCGAAATGCCCCAGAACTCATTAAACTACATTGCATCTACAAAATGTTACGAAATTGTCATCAGGTCAAAAACTTTTAGACTTACTTAAGGTTTTCTATAACTCATCCTGGCTGCAAGTGGTGTTTTATCATTCAAGTAACTTTTTTTACAAAAAGTAATGTTTATTGAGATAACTCCAGATTCATATGTGATTGTAAGACATAAAATAGAGAAGTTCCTGTACACATTTTCCAGTTTTCCCCAACACTGGTATCCTGCAAAACTATAGCATATTATAACAATATTGCCATCAATACAATCCAGCAATCTGGCTCCATTTCCCCATTTTGCTTGTACTCACTCTTGTCAGTGATATACAAGCTCTAGACCACCACACTCAACAGCTCCCACCACGAGGGTCCCTAGAGTTGCCCTTTTATAACCACACGATTGACTTCCGCACCCCTGGCTCTCTAACCTCTGACTGTATGGCCTCCATTCCTAAAATATTGCCATTTGCAAAACATTATATAAATGGAACAACAGATTATGTGACCCTTTGAGATTGACTTTTTTCACTTGGCGAACCTTCCCGGTGACTTGTCTGAAGTGTCAGTCCGTCCATAGTTTGTTGTAATGGAGGAGTTGTATTCCATGGTGTGTATGTCCTTGAGTTCGTTTAACTATTCAACTGTTGAGGGGCATTTGCACTGATTCTAGGTTGGGCCTATTCCAAATAAAGCTGCTATGAACATGGATAGACGGGTTTTTATGTAAACATAGTTTGCATTACTCTGGGATAAATGCCCAAAGTGAAATTGCTGGATCTTATGGTAAGTGCATGTTTAGTTGTATCAGAAACGACCAAGCTGTTTTTCAGAGTGGCTGTACCATTTTATGTTCCCANGTAAACATAGTTTGCATTACTCTGGGATAAATGCCCAAAGTGAAATTGCTAGATCTTATGGTAAGTGCATGTTTAGTTGTATCAGAAACGGCAAAGCTGTTTTTCAGAGTGGCTGTACCATTTTATGTTCTCTTGCAATGGATAAGTGATGCAGCTTTCCACATCCTTGCCAGGACTCGGGTGTTTTGTCACTGTTTTTATTTTAGCCATTTTGAGAGGTGTGCAGCAATATCTGATGGTGGTTTTCATTTACCTTTTCCCTAGTAGCTAGTGACGTTGAACGTCTTTCCATATGTTTATTTACCATCTGTATATCATCTTTGGTGAAATATCTGTTCATATCTTTTGCTCATATTCTAATTGAAATTTTGTATTTTTACTATTGGGTTTGAGAGTCCTGTGTATATTCTAAACTGTAATCTGTTGTCAGATATGTGCTTTGTGAATCTTTACTCCCAGTCTGGAGCCTATTTATCAACCTCTTCAGAGAGGCATTCACAAACAAAAATATTTTTTATTTTGGTGAGATAGAATTTATTATTTTTTCTTTTTATGGATCATTCATTTTATGTTTAGTCTAAGAGCTTTCCACCTATCTCTAGATCCTGAAGATCTTCTGCTCTTTTTCCCCAAGAAAGTTCATAGCTATATATTTTACATTTCAGTCTATGGTCTACTTTGAGTTAATTTTTGTATAAGGTGTGAGGTTTAAGTTTGCTTGCTGTAGGTGGGTTCTTCTTGCTGGTTCTGCCCAACAACTTTTATATTCCGTGTCAGAAATAGGAGTCTCAGGTCAGCAGGGAAAAAGAGCACTTCCCCAGGCCACTTAGTTTGAGCAGGGCTCTGACTGGACCCCACCTGCTGGGGTGTTGGCTTGGCCTGATGTCAGAGGGACTCCCATTCCATCCAGAAGGAACATGGGCCTAAGTAACTTTTGAGATCCATTCTTAGAATTAAAGAACTTTCAAGTCTTACATCTATACATTAGCTGTTGATTCAGTCCATGAGAGAGAGAGAAAGTTCATTCATTTCATGAAAAAAGCAATTAGGAAAAGTGTATATTAAATGCATTTTATTATGTTAGTATTTTATATAAGCATGGGATTTTTTACCGAAACAGTAAGCACAGATCAATCAGATATAAAACATAATTTGAGAGATGGCGTAATAATAATATTAACAATAAAAGTCACGTTTGTTTATTAGGTGCTCTTATATTGCAAATACTGAACACTATGTTATTATATCATATTATTACCTCTAATGCTTAAAACAATCCTACTAAAGTGGGATTTGTTCTCTTTATTTTATGGTTGAGTAACTAAAAGCTCAAGTGTTTAATTAGCTCACAGAGGAACATGCAGGTGGTAAATGCAAGAGATATGAATAGAGTGCAGGCTAATGTGAACTTAAGGCTTCTGTCCTTTCCACTAAAGGCATAGCCTATTAGAGATAAAACCTATAAGATGAAAAAGAGCACAGATGGAATGAATTTATAATATAGTCATCATGGTCATAAGTCAATGAAAAGTGAGGTCAGTGCCACATGAGCAGTATTTGTAAGACAGCTATTGACTGCCTCACTGTCACGATTTTACATGGGCCTTCCTCGTGGTCTTTTCAGCTTGTGGGCTCTGAAGGCCAAGGAGAAGGCTGCATTAGCCACCTCTCTAGGCTTCTGTAATTTTTATGGCATACTTTAAATGCTGCCTGTAATGCAGCCTTACATTCATTCTATCCCACAGGATCTATTAGGGAGAGGGAGAGGGAGAGAAAGAGAGAGAGAGAGGAAACTAAGAAATAAAACAAACAAATCTGGCTTCTCTCTTTAGTTTTTACAGAAAAGAAGAACCATTAATGCTCATGAGAATTTAAGAAGGCCAAAAAAGAATCCCTTAAGTTATTTTTTCCATGTAGTAGCAAACAAAAAGTCACATGACAATATGTGTTGTGGTTCAAAGTTTAACTCCTAATAGTTGAGATTTTTCACTTTTTAAAAAATCTCCCCTGCTTTCATCGATTTTTAGAGAGGGAGGAAGGGAAAAAGAGAGAAACATTGGTGTGTGACAGAAACATCACTCGGTTGCCTCCCATACGCACCCTGACCAGGGATCGAACCTGCAATCTTTTGGTGGACGGGACAACACTCCAACCAACTGAGCCACCTGGCCAGAGCAAGATTTCTCACTTTTTAATGCAAGAAATCCAAGTAGAAAAATTGTCCTTTTCTTACTTTGAGATGCAATGAGTCATTTCTATTCTAAATGTTTATGTTCACAAAACCAGTTCTGCTTCAAATAAATAAACAGGCCCACTCACCTTCACAAAGCTGTTCTGACACTGTCCATCGCCACTGGGGATTAGGAAGTTGTTGTCAAAGCGAAGCTCCAAGTGATTACTTTCGTGAGTAATGACTGTCCAGGAACATCTGCTGTTCTCGGGAAAATTCTGAGGCCAGTGAGGGGATTTGATTGTACCGTTATCTGAGTGAAGAATTCCACCACAACCTTAAAAAGTGTCATGGAGAAAGTCATTACTTTGCGAGGAAAAGAACAATGTTGATAATCCAAGACTTCTAGAGAAGACATTTCTAAATATGAGATTTCAGTTCGTCTTTCCTTACGTATGAGTCACTGGGCTTTGGGGCAGGTATACAACAAGAACATTTAATAAATGTAAAGTGCATTGAGTGCACAGGAAGCCCCAGCTATTACTGTTTTGTCACAGCTCCGTGAGCTCGACTGAGAACTCTAATCCTTGTCATAACGAGGATGGACTTCTATCCTGTCTTCAAACAATATCAGTATGTTTTAGTCCCCTGAGGCTATGTAATATTTGTGGCCCAGCAATCCCAAATTCTGAACTTTATTATCACGAACACATGAGAATACAAGTCTACTCGTTTGTAATTTTACTCTAACACACAGGACTAGAGCAAATGATTTTCAGGAGGGCAAAATTCTTCCATTAAGCACCATGATTCATTCATATTAAAACACTGACAGACAAAAATAAATTACATGGATTGACATAAACAAAAATCTAGAGTTATTTTATATTATTGAAATACATACTTAAAATATGACAGAAGAAAAAAGTATGAATTCAAGACAGAATGAAGTCAAATTAAAGAGTACTCCCTGAATCTATTGCTTTTAAACCCTTGGAAAAATCAGTGGCTCATCTAAAACTCCCCTCTGACTTCAACAGCAACCAGTGGCTTAATGAGGGAAAATCTGACTCATTCATAAAGATCATGATAACTGACTCTCCTGGAAAGAATTGTCCAGTGTGTGTGACATTGCAAGTCTTTAAAGAAATCCTGACTAAAGTCTCCACAGCAAGTTCTTATATTTTCTGGGAATTTCCATGAAGTTCATACTTTATATGCACAAAAGTTCCATCCTTTGAAATCAAATGTGCGATTATTTGCCATGCACTACAGGCAGAGCATTCATTCTTAAATCACAAATCTTATCCTGTTATTTTGCAGCTCAGCACTCTTCAGTGGCTCCCCACTGCTTAAAAGGTACTGTGGGAGCTCAGGCTCTTCATGAGGTCACCACTGATCTTCCTGCCACCGGCTCACCATTCAAAGGTCCTCCTCCAGGCTCCAAATATGTTAAATTACATGTAATTCCAACACATCTATTCTATTACTTATGATTCTGTGGCTATGGAGGCAGAACTGCAAAGTGTTAAGATCCAAGTTTCTGGCTCCACTGTCTTTATTCAAATCTTGACTCTAGTGATTATTATTTACATGACCTTGGCAAATGATTAACCCATGTATCCTAAATTTCCGCATGTGCGAAATGGAATAAAATGTGTAATGGTATTTTGTCTTCCTCACAGGGTTGCTACACGAGATGATACATTTAGAATTGAGTCCTCAGAGAGTAGGTACAAAATATATACTTGTTGGATTAGTTATTAAATTTTTTAAATAACTCAGTGAAAAAAGACAGTAAGCGCAGAGAATGTTTCTTTTACCTAAAGTTTGCGTGCTCCATGTAGCATAAAATCCACCATTTTGCACCGAATGGTCTGAGTTAAAAATCACCACCAGCTGGTTAGAACCAGACTGGATTGGACTGGGGTTTGAACTCCCACAGTACTGCCCTATTATGGGCGATCCAGGAGAACCACCATTCTTGACAGTGACAGAGTCCCAAGAACAGGTTAAATGGTTTTCGATATCAAAGTCACTAAATGTAAGCTGCAGGAGAGAAAAGAAATAATGAGGCACTCTTATTATTTTATAAGTGAGTTTATCTACATAGAGTTAGATAAGGTCCCCACATATTGTTTTATTTTGTTTTAATTTATACAATTTTATATTTATGTCTCTCATTTAATTCTCCCCTACCCTCCTCCTCTCTTTTTCCTTATTGGAGTTTCTCTTAGAAATTGTGAGAAGGGATATTTCTCTCCAAACTGGAGTCATTAGGGGGAGCTCCTCAGTCTCCTGGGCTGGGATGGCAAATCATACCAAGAACATGAATACACCTCTCTCCTGGACGCAGAGTTATCTTCTACATATAGCTTCTCCAATGCTTGAAAAAGCCCATCATTCATTAATTGTACACTTACAGATGTCAATGTATATACTCTAATGGAGACTTTTAGGGAGAAAATGATTTGACTGCAAGATCAAAAACCTAATATTTGCTTAGTAAAAGAACTCTGTTCCCACACAGGACATGATATTGTAGTTCCACAGTTTCAAAAGTAATTTACTCAGTCATCAGAACTCACAGTGAGGGTATGGCCTTGGGGAGCTTCCAACAACCAAGCACAGTGGGTCAGGCTGTCATATAAGGCTGGATAGTTGGGGCTTGTGATCACTCCACTCTCACCTATCTGTATTCCACCACAGTCTGAAATTAGATTTGTAACCTTCTAAATAAGATGGGAAAAAAACCGAAACCCTGCAAATCCAAGGTAAGTAATACTTAAAGGTGTCATATTTTATGATTTAAAAATACAATAAATGAATAAATTTGTGAAATTGGATAAAAGCAAAGTAAAACTGGGTGCAAGATTAGAAATACACAGAATGGTATACAAAGAGTCACATAGTGGAAATAGGTTCAAGTTTAGTATGAAGCAAAAAGAAGATAATCTCTACCATAAACGGAGACTAAATAGATGTGTGTATAACTGAGAGTAAATGTACTAGGGACAAAGTAAATAACAATGCCTCTCCTGAAAAAAACTACTCCAGCGAAAATAAATTATAAGCTGGAAGAATATAATTAGTACCATAACAAAAGACTTTGTCACTTGATAATAAACACATATGTCTGTAGTCAGTTATTAAAGTATACGTTAGCATAGCAAGTGCAAGTGCAGATACATTTATAAAGCATAGTATGGTATGATGTTTCATACAAATAATACTGCCTCCTGAAGTCTGACTCCTTTCTTTCAATCTAATAAAGAAAAATAATCTGACAAGATGGTTGATTGTGTAGATAATCAATCTCACTCCTCCCAATCAACCAATTGATTATAACACAAAAGATGTTAGATAAAACTATCACCAAAACATATTTTGATTCATATCCAGACATAATGGAAAGAAAGGAGATTTCCAAAATCAACAAACAGTAAGTGTACTCAGATTCTGAGGGGTAATCTCAAAAGGAAAGTATATTTGTCTGAGAGGATACAGAACCAAGACGTGGGCCCCAGGGATTGGGGTCTAAGGTTTTGATGACCAGAAAGAAGGAGAATATATGGCCTTGGACCTCCACAAAACCAAGGACTGGAGTTGAGGATGTTACATAAAGTTGGGGGTCTAAAAGGACTGCCATGTTAGTGAAAAGGAACTAGAAAAACTTCAGTGGCCCAAAGAAGCAGCATGGAGTAGTCCTGCCCGTCTTGGGTGAAATTTCCAGGGGCAAAATGAATGTCACAGATGCGAATCCAACACAAAACATTAGCAAATAATATTCAGTAATATGTTCAAAACATACATCATGACCAACCAAGGTTAATCCTGGAAATCAAAGAATGATTTAACAAGACAAAAGTATTTCAATATAATTTATCACATTAACACGTTAGAGGAGGAAAAACAGGATCATCTAAATAGATGCAGAAAAATTATTTGATAAAATTTAATACCCATTCACAGTAACAAAAAAGAGGCAAACAAATTTTCATACACTAAGGATTTAAGGGACTTTCTTTATTCTGATGAGTTTTTTTGAAAATCCAAGAGTAACCAGTATATTTAACAATGAAATGTCATAGGCATTGACGTTAAGGTCAAAACAAGATGCTATCATCTCTTCCATTAAAAATTATGATGATGGTTTAGTTATTGAAATAATACAAGAAAATAAGCACTGTCATTTGCAGAAGATATTATTTACGTAGAAAAAACAAAAATAATTATAGACAAACTACTAAAACTAATGAAAGTATAGCAAGGTCTCTGGGCTAAAGATCAATGTAAAAAAATTTAAAAAATTCCTAGATATCAGCAACAACCAATCAGAAAATGTAATTTAGAATGTCTTGTTGACATTGGCAATGAAACCAATTGCAACCTAGAAATAAATCTAACAAAATATATAGGATGTCCCCCCCAAAATGTATACACACACTTGAATAATTATAAAGGCAGCATTTATTAAAATACATTTCATTTTCAAAATTGAGCTATCAGCTGTTAAAGTATGTATACAGTTTTGGGGACACCCTGTATATGAGCTCTTTACAGAAAATATTATAAAAATTGTATCTACTATCTTATTGCCAGAGTTTGAGAGCTTAATCAGAAGTCTTACCTGTAAAGAAATACTCTGCATGGAATCCAATATGTTCTACACGTTCGTTGGTGACAAAGTGTATCCATACCTGAGGATAAGGTATTACCAGTGGCACTGTAGATGCTACTGGTCCACAAAGTCTCCATATCAGAGGCCCATCAGCATCACCTGAACAAAATAACACACCAAGTGCCATTATTTATACTGCTTTTAAGAAATATAATCAGTGAATTCAGTAGGAATCAATAATAAAAATAATTTCAAGGTATTCACTGACACGTTTAAATTCTTCTTTAAAAACAGACATTTCAAAAATGTCCTCTCCATCTCTGTCAACTGCAAAAGAAAGAGTCCCTCCAGCAGGATAACATTTTTTAAAATGCCTTTTTTTTTTTTTTATGGGCCTCTTTCTCTAATATAGGTGCCATTTTTTTCCAATTTGTGTTTTCATAATTATTTTAGCATATCTAAATAGAAATGGTACTAATTTAAAAAAAACTTTAGGTTGTGCCTCTTTTTTAGGAAGTAAGAAATATAATGCCAACAGTGACAAAATACATTATCAAGATAAAAGTGATAAGTACTTAATATTTTAATGATTTCTTCACTGTATTTAATCAACTAAAATAAATGGTATTAGTACTCGGGCCAAGAACTATCATATTTGGAGCTGAATATTTTTATGAAGGTTACTTTTCACAGTAATTTGACTAACATTTACAGTGCATCTGCAGAGCTCACACTTATCTGCTCTCTCTTTTTTTAGTCAAACAGCAACACTGATCTTATAAGTCAACAAAAGATAGAATTTTAACTATCTCTAAAGTGAGGAAGCAGAGAGAAGGTTGCATTTAACAGATATACAGCTGCTTTATTTGATTCTATAAGGCAGTGGTTTTGAGCCAGGTGGCAGTGGTGAGGGTTTACCAGAATCACATGGAGAACATTCTCAAACTACGGCTTCCATCTCTCTCAAGCCCTCTCTAGGTTGGTCTATCTCAGGGAGCCCAGACGGCTCTCCTGCCGAGGTAGTTGGTCTGTGACCATAGACTTTACCTAATTCTCCTTCTAGAAAACTCTGTCCTCCACGTTCTCAAACCCATCACTGATTCTTAAAGTTGCCCCAGAACATCACCATCAGCAAACTACATTAGCTTTTGCTGCTTTCAGCCTCTTTTCCTTTAGATTTTGCAATAAAATGGGATTTGGTGAACCTTGGACAGCACAGATGGTCTAAAATGTTACTTCCCTTCTCTTTGTTTTTTTTTTTTTTACCAGGAAAAGAGTGCCAATGGATAATCTATGCCCTGACTACAGGAAAGGACTCAAATGGACTCATCTTTCACGAATGAGGGTACTTAAACATTCTTAAGAGAATTATGGTTTACCAAGTACACCTCAGTCCCTTTCTATCATGACATCAGCGACAAGCTTGATGGCTCTGGGGACGATTCCTCACATAGCTTCCATGTGCCTCTCCATCTGGTGCATTTCAAAACTTCTTTTGACTTCTAAGGCCTAAGTAAAATTCCACAGCCACTTTCGTGAATCCTGTAAATTCAGTAATCCACTGACACTGACCATGTTATGTTCCAGTCTCTGAGGAGTCTTGAGTTGAAGACTCAAGATTACAGTTGAAGGGGCCACCTGAACCCAGTAAGAGTGAAAACAAACCAGAATCTCTCATCAATTGAGACATATGATCTGGTTATAAACACTGACTCATCTCTCTCACTGCTCATAGGGCATGTGTTCCTTAGCTGGGCACACACAGAATTACAGCTTTGTCTGACCAACATTCTTTTAAATCCTATGTGCGTATATTACAGCCATCTGACTCCTTTCATCACTGGTGGTCTCTGGGCATCAGAAAAATACTGTAGATAAATGGGAGAACACGGTCTTAGATTGAACTCACCCACTCGGAACTCTAAGACATCAAATTGGCAGTCTTGGTGACTTTCTAGGTAAAAATTCACAAAATGAATGTAAATGGATGAATTTCCCTGATTTGGATTGCTGAGAGTCCATTCACAGTTTAGGTTTCTTGAGTAATTGCTGACTCCATTGTAGCCAGGAGAAGTAAAGTTTCCTTCAGGGGAATTTGTAAGGGACCCGCCACACACTAAAAAAAACAAAAGGCAACAGAGAAAGTAGCAGTAAAATTCATGCCATGACAGAAGACACAAACAATATAGGAACAATCAGTAAAATAACAACAGCAACATTTTTACTGTTTCCATTCTTTTTCCTAGATGAAGTCCAGGTTGTGGGTAAAAGGCTGGCTCATGCATGCAAACTTTGGAAGAAGTTCCTGTGGGTTTAAAACATATTTTGTGCAAAAATAAGCAACTTCTTTATTTCCCTGTAGGTGAAGGATAAGTGGGTGGCATTTGGCTGTGTATTGATATCTCCTAATTTTGGGCCTACTGTTCATAATACTTAATTTAGAGGAATATTGAAATATAAAGTGGTCCCAATGGCTTCTAATTAGCAATTCTCCACTGTATCCAAGAATTTAATTGGATCAAACAGATCATATAACATTACTGTGCCAATAAATTTTTCCTTTTGAATAGAAAATACTCTGCATATCAATAAAATATCAATTTTTTTTTAATATTTAGTTTAAATTTTCCTAAATTTAAAACCTCTTAGATAATAACATCAATCCAGAAAGGAGGATATTTAGAATAGAAAGGCCATTTGTTGCTTAGTTTTTAAATACTCTATGTCAAATGTGAACCCCTCATTCATTTACACTGGAAATGTGTGTAAGGATGAATGACTAAGAAACAATAAAATCTGTCTGAAATTAATGTAGTTACTTTCTGGAAAGGAATTACCTTCTTAGAGGTATATGTCCTCTCAGCATGAAAGAATAACAGAGGCCTACAGAACTGGAAACCAACTCTAACGGCGACATTGCATGAAACTGAGCTAGCACCTCTTCTAATAGCATTTGTTAAAGTTTTAATTCACAATGGCAGCCTTCTTCCCAAAACCAAAAGAATTTTTTTTTTTCAATCTAGGTTTTCTATTTGGTTATGCATGTCGTCTTTTTTTTTTTTTTTTTTTT